CAGTGGTCGAACTGATTTCTAATGAAACTTATGCGTACCACGAACTTGTCGAATCTTCTATTCCACTGTCAAGGATATTGTTTCAATCCATATAAAGATCTATTCAGTTTGCACACATTACTTTCCTTCCCTTTTTCGACATACCCTTCAGGTTGCCTCATAAGGATTGTTTCATCTAGATCACCATACAAGAACGCAGTCTTCACATCCATCTGCTCCAGTTCAAGTTTGAATTATGCCACCGTGGCAAGCAACATTCAAATGGATATGTTCTTCACAATAGGAGAGACCACATAATTGATGCCGATACCTTCTTTTTGGGTGAACCCCCTACTGACCAATCTTGCCTTGTATCTCTTCGACGCCACTCCTTCGATTTCTACCTTAACTTTGAAAATCCATTTACAGCTGACTAACCTCACTCCAGCAGGTTTCTTGATTAGTTCCCAGGTGTTGTTATCATGAAGAGATTTCATCTCATCATCCATGGCATTCAACCATTCACTCTTCTTTCGACTCCTCATAACTTCCTTATAGTCTCTAGATTTTTTGTCTAGAACCTCACTTGTAGAGATTAAGGCATAAGCTATAAGATCTGCATACCCAAGTCTATGAAGTGGCTTGATGACTCTCTTTGACATGTCTCTTGCTAGAAGGTAGTCATTATCAGTCTCCTCATCTTCGACAACATCTTCTACGTCTTCTTCGACTTCATTTGGGATACGCAATTCAACATTAACATGCTCCACCTCAACAGGGATCTCTCCCTGTTCCAGCTCTTTGTCAGCATCATCAGTTTTCTTGAAAGCCATATCTGCTTCATTGAAAACTACATCTCAATTAGTTATACACCTCCCATGACCTGGATCTAGGCACCATAGCCTATAAGCTTTGACTCCTTCAAGGTATCCCATGAACATGCATTTTAGAGATCTAGGTTCGACCTTGTTTTGCCTAATATGAGCATAGGCCATGCAAGCAAATACTCTCAGTCTGTCGAGACTAGGTGGATGTCCCGACCAAACTTCTTTAGGTGTCTTCATTCCCAAGGCAGTCGAGGGACATCTCTTTATCAGATATGCTGCTGTCAAAATAGCCTCTGCCCAAAACACCTTCTTCAATCCAACACTAACCAACATGCGTCTAACCCTTTCAAGGATTGTTCGATTAAATCTCTCATCTAAGCCATTTCATTGAGGAATACCTGCTACAGTCTTATGCTTTGCAATCCCAGACTCAACACAGTAACTGTCAAACGCTTCATTGCAGAACTCAAGGTCATTGTCTGTTCTCAATCTCTTAACCTTTCTGCAAGTTTGAGTCTTGACCATAACCTTCCTACTTTTGAAATTCTCAAAAGTTTCATCATTTGTCTTCTGGATGAATACCCATAGCTTTCTGGAATAGTCATCAATGATGGATAGAAAAATAATTGCACCTGAGTGTGAAGGATTCCTTGTAGGCCCCCAAAGATCAGCATGAATGTAATCTAGGGATCCATGTGTTATTTGCTTGCCTTTGTTAAACTTTTCCCTACAGGATTTACCAAATACACAAGATTCACAAAACTCCAACTTTTCGACTTTGTCACCTCCTAGCAGGTTCTGCTTCCCCAATTCGACCAGGCCTCTTTCGCTGACATGGCCCAATCTTATGTGCTATAATTTTGTCTTTGACACAGGTTTCGTGGATGCAACATTTTTCAAACCAGTTACAACCTCAGCCTAAAGGGTATACAAGCCTTGTTTCTTCACGCCACTTAAGACTTCCTTCGACCCCTTCATGACTCTTATAATACTTTTCTCTCCTTGAAAAATGTATCCCTTCTTGTCGAATTCACCAAGAGAAATCAAATATCTCTTCAAATCAGGTACATACCTGACTTTAGTCAATAACCTTATTGACTCATCACGGAGCTTGAATCTCACAAATCCAATACCTACAATTTTATAAGATTTGTTGTTTTCCAACAGCACTGATCCACCATCTTGATCACATAGCTCCTCGAATAATTCTCGGTTTGGAGTCATGTGCCAAGTGCAACTTGAATCCATAATCCACTCTTTTCTTGAGTCGCCACTTGAAACCACAAGAACATCAGATGAGTCAAAGTCATCTTGAACAATGGCTGCGTTGCCATTATCTTTACCTCCATGATCTTTTAGGCATTTAGGCCACACCTTTCTTGTGTGGCCCTCTTTCTTACAATGATAACATCGAATACCAAATGTTTCGCCACTATAAGACTTTTGCTGACTTTTACTTTTCTTCTTGTCAAACTTACCATCCTTTCGCAAGAATTTTCCCTTAACGGCAAAACCTTCGCTCACCGTCGAAGGTTTATGCTCCTTTCATTCGTTCAAGTCCTTAGAATTCAAGGCTAATTGTACTTCTTCAAAGCTCAGGGACTCCCTTCCATATACAAGAGAGTTTCTTTGAAGTGAACACGTGTTCTGGACAAAGCACACAACAACAGTGCTTGATCTTCACCATCGATCTTCACATCAATATTTTCAAGATCAAGAATCATCTTGTTGAACATATCCAACTGTTCATCCAACACTTTGCCTTCACTCATCTTGAATGAATACAAAGCTTGCTTCAGGTAGAGCCGATTCACCGGAGATTTGGTCATGTACAAACTTTCAAGTTTCACCTATAACCCCGATGTTGTAGTCTCCTTCGATACATGTTGAAGAACCTTATCACCAAGGCTCAACAATATTGTGTTGTGGGTTTTCTCAATCATGGTTGTCTTTTCTTTTTTCGTTAACGCAGTGTCCATGGCTGCATCTCCCTTCGACACTTCCAAACAACCCTGCTAAACCAGTAGGGCTTTCATCTTCAAGCGTCGCAGACCGAAGTCGTTCACTCCGGTGAACTTTTCAATCGCATACTTTGTTGAAGGCATCTTCTCCACGCTCACCGCACCAATTTGTTGTGAATAGAATGCATTGAAACAAAATATTAACGGTTTCTTTATATTTAAGAAACACACAAGGGTTAGAGTTAACAAAGAAAACAAGTAAGAAGAACAAGAAGAAACAACAAGGATTGGTTATAAACTGATATTCTTTCATTTATCTATCAAACAAGATTACAAGTATACAAGAATAACGAATAACCTCTCTCTCTTGAATTAGGAATTTATCTTCCTATTTTTCCTTTTCCAAGATAAGAGACTAACATGTTATTTATAAGAAAATTAGCAGACTAACCTAATGGGCTTTTTAACAATTACCCATTACAAGCTAACATAGGGTATAAGCTAACTTAAACAATTGGGCTTACAAACAACTCAATTCAACATGCTAACAAACCTAACAATATTAACTAATGCATGTTAGAACAAACTTCGACTACAACACGCATTACTCGCGAACAGACTTCGACCATACTATAGTTCGATCCAATATCTCACAAAACCTAATAAAATAACAGAACTCACACTTATTGGTTGAAAAACTACGTTGAATAAAAAAGAATCTACAATAGGCCCATCTCAAAGTTGATTCCATACTCAAAGGGCTTCACACTTTAACTAGATAATCTCGTTGAAATTGAACCTTGTCGACACTGTCTCTCCACACAGAGCGATTTCAATATTTGTCCGATCGCATCTGAAATCGAAAACATCATTCTCTTTCACATAATTCAGGAGGAAGTGGATACAGTCACACTCCACCAAAAGATCGCCGTCCTCATTGATTGCCATCACACCATCCCGGAAGAAAGAACAGACACAACATCAAAGTTCAAGTTTTTGACAAAAATTAGAACTTACTATCTAGGCGCATCATCGACAGTAGGATCTCAAAGTCTCTCGAGAAACCTTTGAAGTTGGATAGCTACAATGGAACAAAATATCCAAACGAGCACATTGAACACGTAGACACCATGCTTGATTACGACCACGTCCGTGTAGCTATGAAATGCAAGTCATATGTGTTGGCTCTCAAAGGAGCCGTTATGACGTGGTTTAAGACCTTGCCCTACAATTACATAAATTCTTGAAAGGAGCTCTACAACTATTTATTAAGTGGGATCCAACAAACGAAGAAAGAAGTCTTACAAAAATATATAGACCAGTTCACCAAGGAGGTGGTAGAAGTTGGAGAGATGAATCACGAGTTTAAATGTTACTTATTTAAGAAGGGATTGAAGGCAAATTGCACGTTAACTCTTAACCTAAAAGATAGAGGAACGTCAGGGTTGGAGAATCTAAAAATTAATTGGTTAAATAATAAAGACTACAACCACCGTCAGGATAACGGAGACTGAGAGCCTCGAGCTAGATTTTCATTCTTCATTACCTATTCCTAGTTCAATTCCACCATGGAAATATAGAAAGTGCTTTCAAGCTTGTTCATTTCTTCTACTTAATTGTCATACTTATATGGTTGCTCTTGGACCACACACTAAGGTTAGATAAAAAGTTAAAAACAAAATTAGTCGGAAATAAAATTCGACCCGTAATGTAATAAATAATTCTCGGACGACAAGTAATAACGGTTATATTTGTGGTATAACTATTTTTCAAGGCTGGCATGATTAATTAATGCTGTGAGTGAAGCCAAGCAAATCATCGTTGTGAATCTCTCTATTCATTGCATATAATGACATGTTTTAATATTCAACACAAGTGTACTTATTTGTCATTTAATAGTCATTATGTGCCACCACGAGTACAGTTTGCATTCGGAATTTCACACGCAGAAATATCAGATAATAGAAAAAAAATAATTAAATATAACGTGTCTAACTTGTTGAGTCACTCATTGAAGATTACGTTTTTAAGTGAGAGATACAGTGTTGACACTTCAACTATACTATACCATGTGGGAAGACTTATTGGTCTACGCTGACGTAAGCATTTGGCCTATATAACAACTTGCCAACTTCATCTTATACTCAAAACTAAATAGCAATAGTACTAACAATTTCACACACTTGGATAAGTTTTATTAATCTTAGTGTGTTCTTTTTCATATTGTGTCAAGATGAGTGAGAGTAAGGTAGTTGAGGCAAAACCTCAAAAACACATTCAAGATTTCGATCCTAAAAAGAAACCTAAGCGAAACAATTATGCTTTTGCTTGTGCTATGTTAGCTTCCATGACTTCCATTTTACTTGGATACGGTAATTTTCTAAAGTACACTGTTTATTTTTTTGCTATAGTCATTTGAATTATATCCACTTTTTACAAATATGAAAAAAAAATGTTACTTTTGACACCTAATCATTATGTTACAGATATTGGTGTTATGAGTGGAGCTGCAATCTACATAAAAAGAGATCTTAAATTAACGGACACACAGGTTGAGGTTATGATGGGAATCATAAACATCTACTCTCTCATAGGTTCGTGTCTTGCCGGCAGAACCTCCGATTGGATTGGTCGCCGTTACACCATCGTTTTTGCCGGTGCTATCTTCTTCGTCGGAGCCTTACTCATGGGTTTCTCGCCAAACTATGCTTTCCTCATGTTTGGCCGTTTCATTGCCGGAATTGGCATCGGCTACGCCCTCATGATTGCCCCAGTTTACACCGCTGAAGTCTCCCCCGCTTCCACCCGCGGCTTCCTCACATCTTTTCCTGAGGTAATTAACTTAGTTTTTCGTCAAATAGTCTATGAGAGTGAATAAGTATGATGTTGTAGATTCTAACTCATGTACCGTAGTCAGATGTCAGTGCATAATTATTAAATAGGATGTCGTAGATTCGAACTCATGTACTGTCGATGTAGTTGGATGTCACTGCATAATTATTAACCAGGATGTCAAAGTTTCGAACTCATGTAGTTGGATGTCAGTGCATAACTATTAAGCAGGCACGCTTCAAACTCATGTACTATAGTTGAATGTGAGTGCATAATTATTAAGTTGAATGTAGCACATTCGAACAAGCTCTTTATGCGGATAACTACTTGTATTATCGGTGCATAACTACTTGTAGACAAATCTAAAATAAGTTTATATAAAGTACTAATCTTTTTTGAAAAAGAAAAAGCAATTCTGTTACTTTTTTTCAGACATGCTGCATAGAATCATTTTACTAATAATATTTGAATTGATTCGATCTTTTGCAGGTTTTCATAAACAGTGGAATATTACTTGGATACGTATCAAACTTTGCATTTTCAAAACTATCCCTTAAAATAGGTTGGAGAATGATGCTTGGAGTAGGAGCAGTTCCTTCAGTAATCCTAGCCGTCGGAGTATTAGCCATGCCGGAGTCACCGCGATGGCTCGTAATGAGAGGCCGGTTAGGAGACGCAATAAAAGTACTCAACAAAACCTCAGACTCTAAAGAAGAGGCTCAGCTTAGATTAGCCGAGATAAAACAAGCCGCCGGAATACCGGAAGATTGCAACGACGAAGTTGTTCAGGTAAAAAACAAAAACACCGGTGAGGGTGTATGGAAAGAGCTTTTCATTTATCCTACACCCGCAGTTCGTCATATTGTTATAGCAGCACTCGGGATTCATTTTTTTCAACAAGCATCAGGCATAGACGCCGTCGTTTTGTACAGTCCTAAGATCTTCGAAAAAGCTGGAATCAAAGGTGACACACATATTCTTCTTGCAACAATAGCCGTTGGATTTGTTAAAACAGTGTTTATCTTAGTGGCTACTTTTAACTTAGACAAATTCGGTCGTCGTCCGATGCTGTTAACGAGTGTCGGAGGTATGGTGATCTCGCTTCTCACACTAGCTGTCAGCCTTACGATCATTGATCATTCGAAAACGAAACTAATCTGGGCCATTGGATTGAGTATAGCAACTGTTTTGTCTTATGTTGCCACGTTTTCGATAGGTGCGGGACCCATCACGTGGGTGTATAGTTCTGAGATATTTCCTTTGAGATTGAGGGCACAGGGTGCAGCTATGGGTGTTGTGGTGAATAGGGTTACTAGTGGGGTTATTGGAATGACTTTTTTGTCTCTGGAAAAAGCGATTACTATTGGTGGAGCTTTTTTTCTTTTTGGAGGTATTGCTACAATTGCATGGATATTTTTTTATATTATGCTTCCTGAAACACAGGGGAAAACGCTTGAAGAAATGGGAGAGTCTTTTGGGAAAATTTGGGCGAAACCGAAGAATGCTAAGGGAGTTGAGAATGATAATGAACGTGTATCGCAAGTTCAGTTAGGGACCAATGTGTCAACTTGAGTATAGTAGATAAATGTGATATATTATTAGAGGTGATGTATAATTATAAGAATACTATATAGTGGTGTTGATGAACTTTATTTGTGAGAGAGAAAGATACATTAAAGGTTAGGTGGATCTTGTGCTTTGTAGAAACCATTTTGTGGATCTATTAAGTTCTTTAATGTATCATTCTTTCTCCTGAGTTTATCTCTCTAGAGAATCTTCATCCATTTTAGAGTAGATTTTTAAGAGAATATTGTATGGAAAAATAAATTTACAACAAATTTCAATGATAACAAACAGAAAGATGTTTCATTATTGTTTTGTATCTCTTGTACAATTTTGAGCCGTTTGATTAACTTAAAAGTTTAGTGACGGGTTTTGTATCTCTTATACATTCAAAGTCACCATTCTTGTGGTTTTTTGTTCCAACATTTGAAATTAAGAGTCTCGTTTGATTCATCAAATACTTAGAGTGCGAAAATGTTTTTCATTTTTAATGAATGAATCCTGCAAATCTCTCAATTCTCGATGCGAAGAATTACAATAAATGATGCAAACAAATGAAGATGTTGTTTGGTTATAAAAATGTTCTTGAAGTGATCAAGAACTGAGTTACTCCACTTGTAAAAGGTGCAACGACTGCACAAAGGACTACACATAAGGAAGAGAAGACAATAGATTACACGACATTCTATTTGATTCATCAATGTGTTGATGCTGATAATTTTGAGAAGGTTGGTGATTGTACAACCTCAAAGGAAGCTTGGAAAATCTTAGAGAAAAGTTATGCAGGAGCTGATAAGGCAAAGGTGGTGAGGTTACAAACTCATAAGAGGCGGCTGGAGTTGATTCAAATGGAAGAAAAGGAAACAATTAGCAAGTTCAGGACGAGAACCGCAAGATTGGTAATCCAAGTAAAGTTGTGTGGATCAACAATCATAGAGTAGTATGTGAATGTGAAAATCGTGTGTTCTTTGATGTTATCCATTTTCATTTTTCTAAATCCAATCCATCTCATTATCCATCTTAGAATTCCATTTCATTTTTATTTTAATCCAATTATCCATTTCATTTTCAATTTACAATTCAAATATCCATATCTTGAATCATTTCTAAATCCATTCTTGTTGATCGAAATCATGCCTATAGTCCAATTTCCAAATCCATTCAAGGTCACCATTTTTTCAAACTTCATTTTAAGATTCGTTTCAAATTTTAATTTCAAGATTTATTTCTAATCAATTTCGATTTTTTATTATTATTATTAACTATTCCAATTTATCTCAATTTCAAGCCCATTCATTTTTATTTCTCAATTTCAAGCCCATTCATTTTTATTTTTGAATTTCAAGCCCATTGTACTTTTTTGTTTTTACAAAATAAAAAAAATGCAGAAAAAGAACAATTCAAATTCTGCACATTTGTTGCTACTAAGACTAGCCACAATATGACAAAAATCTACACAAAACCTTACAACCAAACACTACCATCCAAGGAGGCTTGCTGTAATTTCTACATCAACCCTGCTACCTCAACACACTGCCCAACAACTAGCACCTTGCTACCAACATAAACCCTCTGCACAAAAGCCATGCTACAAAACAAGGACAACACACCACATTACTCCAAAGTCGCTGCAAAAACAGCATAAACCTGCAATGCCCACACTTACAAGTTACACATAAAAATAAAATCCTGCATTTTGAACATAACTTGACAATAATAACGGTACAACATAGCAGACAAAATCGAGAAGAGGAAACCAAGAGATTGGGTGATCTTTAAAGAGAACAGGGTGATTCAAAGAAAGAAAGGAGACTAACCTTATTCAAGTAAAGTGACTCCTCATTACCTTAAAAAAACTGTTTCTGTGAACCTCTAATTCCCTCTCTTTCAAAGATTGACATGACCTCGGATACCCTTCAAAAAACTCACTGCAGAACATCCAAAGCTTTAAAAACCTGCCATGACCATCTTTTCAACCGGATAAAACCAATAGCAGTGAAACAAAACAAAAGAGAATGAAATAATAGAAGGAAAAACATTGAAAAACACAAAACCTGAGACCAATCCTTCTTCAAAATCGTTTCGACAGCAACCAAGAATTTTGGGGAAACCTGCACAAAGCTCTCCAACCTCGTTTCTCCATCAAGCATTCAATCTTGAAAATTCTGGCAAGCACACGATGGATGTTATTCCCAAAATTATAACATCCACTGTGACATCTGCTACTTAACAGTGAATAATCAAGAATAATAAACGCAGTAAATAACACAACAATTGTTTACCCAGTTCAGTGTCAACAACACTTACATCTGGGAGCTACCAAGCCAGGGAGGAACTTCACTATTAGCATAATTAATTCAGAGTCAAACAACACAGTTTGCACTCCTCACTTAAAATCTACCCAATGACAATTCAGCCTAGAGACACTCTAGACCCGAGTATACCCACTTACTCCCCCTCAATCACCACAGTGATATACAATTCACAATTATAGAATCAATATGAAGAGACACTTCATACACACCTTGATCTTGCTTCACAGCTTTGATCAAGGAACTCACACACTCTTACTTCACAACTTTGAGTGAAACACAGCCTAGAATCTACCTATCCAATGCAAATCATCCACCAGATAATTGCTTGGAGTACAAGTATTCCTAGACAAAATTCACACGTGAAGACTAGCCTTCTTCACTTACAAGGACTTTGCAATCTGCACTCTCTATTCTTCTTCTCTCAAGAGCTGTTGTTCAGGATTGCTTCTTCTGATCTTTATAGCAGCTGTCAGTCCTTTTGGGTCTTGGTGCATAAATTAGGTTTTATTCATAACAAGCCTATTTTCAATGATCTGCATGTTTTCCACTTATTGCAGGGATATTCTAGTTTGCCCAGGGCTTCTAGAAAATCTCCTGATATCCAGCTTGAGCTCCTATTTTGTTTCCTGGTTTATAGCTACCAGAAAAACAAACCTGTGCAAACCTGCGCTTGATGTCATACGACCCAAGTCATAACATTGGGTATGACATCCAGCTTAACTTGCTTTTAGCCAAGTCAACTAACCCTGCACAGTCCACATTATGTATGTACTAACATCAGTTATGACATACATACATGCTCTAGTGTTTTGCCCCAAAATGCAGCCAATCAAGAGCACTTACAAATCTGAACAAACTCTTTCCAAAAACTGACCGTATCCTCTTCCTAGACCGCCGATTAAACTGCCACCACAATCTTCAATAAATCCATCGTGCCCATCATGTGAATCGTAAGTTCAAACTCGCTTCCTATTCCTTCAATTCACAACCATCATCTTCAATCACCAACACTCATGAAATCAACTCATAACCACACAGTTGTTCCCTTTCTGCTCCGCCGTTGTCGTCGTGGTGTTCGCTTCCCTTCTTACTTGTTCCTATTTTCTTCTTTTGATTGTTACTCGTGCCATGAGAGAGCGGATCAAGAGAGTTACGATTGAGAGAAGACGATGATGATTTTGCAGGGCATTTCCTCGTTTTCTTCTTTGTGCGAAGCTTGTACCTCTTGATTCATTTTGAAGATAGGATTTTTGAGTCGTGTTTTGTTTCTTCCAAAACTAGGTTGGATTTGTTTTAAGACCCAAACGAGTCACATTTATCCGACCCAACTTGATACACCTAGGCCCATGTCATTTTTGGCTAGATTTTTTGGTGGTAAGTTGTTGGGCTCATGAGCCTATGTGATTGTTCCCACCATACACCTCTCCACAGTCTGTTACACCCTCCTTTTGTTCTTAGAATAATAATAATTATTATTATATTTCTATTTTTTCTCTAGTTTATTTATTTATTTATTATTTTCGATTTTAATTATTTCTTTAAATTCTTCTTGTTAATTGTTATCTAAAAATGTTGTTAAGATTTTTTTTTAATATTCTTGTTAAATATCCTTGATAAAAAATTTATTACTAGTTTTGTAATTATTTTGTTAAAAACTTTTTTATATAATTTTGTTAATTATTTTGGCCATAGATTTTGTTAATATTGAAATTCTGGTATGCATATCTCATATGTCCCAAGAACATTGATCTCTGCTCAACAAGGACGAGGGCAGACCATGACCAATTTAAATTTCTTTAAATTGTACCAATGTCATGACCAACGTCATGACGTCTGTTGTAACATCTACAGACTGACATACTATTTATCTAAACATTTAAATTGTGCAGAATTGTAAATGCTGAAAGATAAATAACACAATGAATTGTTTACCCAGTTCGGTGCAACCTCACCTACATCTGGGGGCTACCAAGCCAGGAAGAAAATCCACTATTAGCACAATCAATTCAGAGCTAAACTCCCCCGTTTACAACTCCCCACTTAATCTCTACCCAATTCAATTTCTGCCTAGAGACCACTAGACAAGAGTATACCCACTCACTCCCCCTCAATCACCTCAGTGATATCAACATACAATTACAGAACAGTTATGGAGATACACTCCAAAACGCATCTTGATCTTGCTTCACAGCTTTGATCAAGTGACACACACTCTTGCTTAACAGCTTTGAGTGATAAACAACTTAGAACCTACCTAACCAATGCAGCATACAGTTGCTTGGTGTACAAGTATTCCTAAGACACACGTGAAGAACCACACTTCTTCACTCACACAACACATGTGAGGAGCACAACTCTTCACTCACAAATATGTCTACCACAATGTATCAAAAGATACAAAGGGTGACTTACACACACAAGGGACTCTCAAACCCTAGACCTTTATTTTACACACAAGTTGTTCTTGATGTGAGTGCTTGATTTTTTCTGCTTCTGCTCCTTCTTTTATAGCAATGTAGACTGGGCTTGGGCTGGTCACAAGTAACAAACTTTAGGTTAAACTTGGGCTGGTCATAAGTAACAAACTTTAGGTTAAACCAAGTTAAACCATTTTCCATAATTCAAGGTGCTGTCAAATTAGGTCACAGCAGCTTCATGTTATGTCCAGCCCTGACTAGAATCTCGCCTGAGATA